GAAGCCGGTGGCCGGCTTGAGGTGGTGGTCAGGACACCGCAAGGGAAGAGTTGGGATTCGGGTTTCGATGGTAGTGTTTTGAGGAACCTAGATTGGTTAATGCCAGGTGGTGCATTGCGAGAATAGTTTCTGGAGTTGTGTTTCCACAGGCTTCAAGGACGAAGCCTAATTTAAGTAGGGGAGAATTGTAACATCCCAGAATTCAGAAGTAAAGAGTTGAAGGGCTAAAAGTGTAAATAAGAAGGTCGACTCGGCGAGTTGAGTCGCGTTTCAGGTTGCGTGATAAGTGACCAACTCGGCGAGTCGCATGGGTGGACTCGACGAGTTGGTGCTGTGTGGAGAAAATCCTAATCCCGGGGGTTGAGCCCTATATAAAGAACATAATACCCTCTCCCCAGCCTCTTTACTCTCCCTTGAAGCCTAGAAGCCCTAACATTCATTTGTGAGAGAATTAGAGAGCATTTGGACCTTGAAGGAGTGTTTGTTGAAGAGATATTTGAAGATTAAGAGGCTTGGAGCAAGGAGCTTTGCAAGGTTTTGGCTTATTCTTCTGTTGGAGTCTCCTCTTAAGGTAATGGTTCATTGCTTGAGCTGTTATCTATCTAGATCTATCATTTGTGGGATTTTGGGAGTATACCTAGTGCAATCTTGTGTTTGGAGGTTGGATCTGAGGTTGCTACCTCAGATCTACTGTAGTGATGATCCAAAGGAGCATAAAGTCCCTATTCAAGAGCTGTTGATGGAGCCTTTTTGTCCCGAACCCTATCCCTAGAGTATATTATGCTTAGATCTCCTTGGATTCACGTAAAGTTTGCCACTTTACATGATGGATGGCTTGTAGAAGAGTAGATCTATGGATTTGAGATCCTGCATGGCTTGGAAAGCCTCTGTATGCGTTAAGAGCTAGTGGTACTCAGCGAGTTGCTTGAAGATAGGCAGCTTCTCGATGAGTTGGAAGAAGAACTTGGCGGGTTGGTTGAAGATAGCCTTGGACTCGGTGAGTCTGTTCTTGGACTTGGTGAGTCTGGTCGTGAGTTCCTAACCTTTCCTGGTTGAGCTATGAATCGGTGAGTTGAGCAATAAGTGACTCAGAGTTCATGGGACTCGGCGAGTCTTGGGGAGACTCGACGATTTGGGTCGTGATATGGGGTTTTTCAGAGTTGAGGGACTCGATGAGTCAGCGGGCTGACTCAGCGAGTAGGGTCAATTAGGAAGTTTGACTTTGACTAAGGACTTTAACTTTGACCAAGAGTTGACCAGTTGACTTTCAGGTGTAATTTGGTAACATTTGGTATTTATTAAGTTTGGTCTTCTGGTATTGTTAGTGGTGGAGTTCGTGTCAGAAGTTGGAGCAGCGTGATCTTATCTTTTCAGTCAGCAGTTGCAAGGTGATTTATCGTCTCTATATCAACAGGGTCTAAGGCACCAAGGCCGACCATTTATCATATTGTAATCCGGGTATCGTTTTTATGTTTTTGCTTTGCTATGTTTGCATCCTGGTAGTTAGGATGGTATATGTTAGAGACCCAGTTAAGATCGGTATCCTGGTATATAGGATGATGCTATGCTAGTGACCGGTTAGGTTGGTATCCTGTTTAGAGTATGTTATGTTATGTGATATGCTAGATCGGTTTGATTGGATGTGAATTGTTATATGATTGTATGTTTATGTGCACATGGTTGTTTGACTGGGGTTGGGTTGAGGCGGGTCCTGGTTTGTGCTATAGGCTAGCATACCCAGGGCAGACTGGTTATCCCGAAGGCCCAATGAGTGGTCCGGATAGGCTGTAGGCCCCACGAGGGCGGACCAGATGTGCCGAGGCTCGGAGAGTGGACCAAGTCGACTGAAGGGTCGATGCGGGCGGACCAGTCAAACTGTAGACTCAGAGAGTGGACCAAGTGGGTTGAAGGCCCGGTGCGGGTGGACCAACCACACTACAGACTCGAGGGATATGGCTAGACTCGAAGAGTGGACCAGGTGGACTGAAGGCCCGATGCGGCGGACGAGTCACACAGTAGACCTGAAGTGCATGGCTGTTCTGTTCGGTTATGATATGTTATGCGTGGTATATGTGGTTGGTATTTTGGGGGTATCTCACTAAGCTTCCAGGCTTACAGTTGTGGTTTAATGTTTTTCAAGTACTTCAAGAGACCGTGGCAATGCAAAGGTGTGATCGTACCGCTCCTCATTTTTATGTTTTACAATATGGTTCTGGGAAGACTCTAATAATAATGGTATTGAAAACCTTTTTGTAATAATTTAACGAAACTGGGTTGTTTTTGAAAATTTTAAGTTGGTTTGAATTTTTAGAGTGTTACACTTTCATTGCTAGCTCTGTTTTTAGCCAGGTTATTGACTAGGTGTCATCCAGAAGGAAGCGTCTACCAGTTGCGGAATCTTATGGTTGTAATGAGTCACCTATCCATGTCCTCTTTTTTGGCGTAATTACCTATCCTCTTTTCCTTGGTGCTGGCAGTTCCTTATTTGTGTTTCTAGTCAAGCTCCACGATTTCACACATGTGTTCCTTCGTTCCCTTCCTTTCCATCCTTTGTGCCCTTGCTACACGAAGGCGTGTAGGTATGTTCAGTGATGTCCAACCTCTCTTGGTGTTCATGATGATGATCCTTGATGTTTCTGGAGTGGTAATGCGGTTGCTATCGCACCCTCCCCCCTCGGGCTGTTCGTTTGGGGTTGACGTCCTTTCCTCTTTTCTTGGGTGTGGTATTTGTTTTTTTACTTGGCCGTATGGGTGGTAGTTAATTTTGTGTGCCGATTTATTGGGATGTGCGCATTAGCCTAAGTGGCGATCGCCCGAAGTGGTTTTGCTTGTGTGTTTAGGGATGTTACTGTCGTTGAGCTATTGGTTGTTTGGATCTTTATTGTACCATGTATTGTTGATGGGATGGCTTGCAGCTGGAATAGAGAAAGTCACCCCAGGATCAATTCGTCTTCTGACTTGTGTTTAACTACTAAGAACTCGATTGTCCTTGTTACCCTTTCCATTCCATCGTAGCTGAGTTGTGTTAATGGGAGGTTTATGGTCCGAGTGGCCATAGTTTGTGTCCTTTAAGCCAACAAGTGGGGCTCGGGTTGGTGGTCTTAGGCTTATCTTCTAGGATGGTGGGAGTCGTTCGAAACAGTACTTGTAAAGGACATTGGTGCTACCACCTCTATCGACCAAGGCTCGCCAGATCTAATGTTTTTGTACGAGGGAAGGGATTAAGATTGATCTGTGGGATCCCAGTTGGGCGTTCGTAGGTCTTCCGATGAGAAACTTATATTGAGAGTATCGTTGGGTAATCCGTCGACGCTATTGCATGGCAATCGACGCCTGGATCTGTTCTCTTGGTTTTCAATTGCGAAGATTTCCTCCTTTTTGATTGGTTGTTTATTCGTCTCCTTCCGGGTTCTCCCATCTTTCCGTTCGAATTCGAATTTTGATCCTAGAATCTTCACAATTTCTGTTAAGTCTCCAATAATTCGCTTGTCTTCTACTTGTTTTTTGATGATCGCACACTCTCCACTGTCGTGGGTTTTTCTCTTGTGCTATTCGCAATATTTTCTTTTCTCTTTCTCCGTCCATTGATGGGTTTTTTCTACCGCGTGTACTTCCATATTATGGCTCCTGGGCTTATCCTTGACAAATGGGTGGAATCTACGAGATGAGTGTCTCGAATGTCTATTATGTTTATCATGGCTTCCATCGTTGCGCACCTTGTGGCTATGGTGGTAGTGAGAGCCAGTCGATTCTTGTTTGAGGTAGCCATTCGCTACGACTTTTAGGTTGGCTAATTTTCTTTATTCTTCCTCAATATGCCTGAGGTATTTTTCGACCTTATATTTGAGCCCATCCCTAGATTTTGGCACTGTTCCTTGCATTTTCCTTGAGAGGGGGCCTAGGAGGAGCCCATGGGCGAAGACGCCCTTGACTAGAAATTCCTCATGGCCGGGGACGCTCGGGGTCACAAAGATAAACCGATCATAGTATGCTTTGATGGATACTCCCTCTTTTTTCTTGCATTCCATGATAGAGTTAGAATCTCTTTTGACTTTCCTCAATTGCATAAATTTATGGAGGAAAATCTACCTCAATTGTTCGAAGTTGGAGATACTTCTAGAATGTAGTGCCTTAAACCATTTGCTAGCATTTCTCGATAGTGTGACTGGTTAGTAGGTACAAGTGAACCTCTTGTCCATCCGAAGAGATGTCATTGTCCACTCGTAGGTATCTATGTGTTCGTTAGGATTTGTCGTGCCGTCATACTTTAGGATGTTTGGTCTCATGGCGGAATGTGGTATTTCATACTGTAATAGCTCTTAACAGAACGTCGAGTTAATACTTGTTACCAGGTTGTTTATATGTGGGTGGTTGAGTGCTCCGTTGGATATTGCCTGTTGCGCATGGTATGGGATGTTGTAGGATGAGCATTTGGACCGGAGAACCCGCTGGAATCGGAACCGGAATCAGTATCGTAACCAGATCAGATAGAACCGACTGAGTCAGGACCGAGACCATATTCTTGTGGATTTTTTTGAACTAGAATTGGTAAAACCTTCAAAAACTGATAGAATTGGCAAAAACCGGAACCGTATGTTGCTATTTCTCGAGGACTGGTTCCAACATTGAAGACACGACAAGAACCAGTAGGAACCGGAACCGGTAGAACAGGCGATCCGATTTGATTCCTATTTTCCACCACGTTTGGTTCCTGGACTGGTTCCCTCCAGGCCAGTTCCGATGCTCACCCCTAGGTTGTTGTACCCTTGGATATACTTGTAATGGTACCCATGGTTGTATGTGGTCTCTTAAGGCATGTACGATGCCTGCATGGGGTATACATGCATTACCTGATTCGACTGTGAACCTGACTTCGTTAGCCCCGTAGTGTGTGTGTGTGTGTGTGTTCATCCCCTATGTTAGCGTGCTTTGAATGTTGCGGGTGTGTGGCTGTGTTTGAGGGTACACACATTGGTAGTAGTATGAATATGGGTTAAACGATGGTTGTTGTACAAATAGTAGGATATGCGACATGGTGGCCATCGGGGAAGACTAGTGGTCTGCCAGTCGTTCCGACTAATAGAATGGAGTCGGGGGACCAAGCGTTGGTCCCCTCTTGTATAGTCGGTGGCAGTGGTCGAGCTGCTATTTTTTTTCATTGGGTGGTCGACATTCTTTGAGGTGTTGTGGTGGTAGTCATGGCCGAATGTTCTGTTATGATGGACGGCAGTCACCATAAACTAGCAATGAACTCCGTTGTGGAGCCGACTGGTGGTCTTATCGGTGTCTGTGTGAGCAGCTTCCCTTCCACTGTCGACGGACAGCTTTCGTCGAGGGACTGCATTGGTCTAACCAGGCTATTTTCTTCACCTTCCTGCCGTATTGGTCCTTTATCCGTCATTTCTGGCGTCTGATGTTGCGACCTAGGTTGTGTCGTACTAGGTGCACATCCGGATGGCGCCTACTGTTGTGATATGTCTTTTTCTTTACTCCATCTTTTTGAAGAATGGAACGAAAGCCTTGAGAAATACAACAAAGAAAACTAGATCGTCAGTTGTTGTCCGGGAGACAGTCCTGAAACGTGGCTCCAACGATCAAATTAGTTGTTTTTTAGAAGGTAAAGAGATGTTGGGTGAAAGTGAAAGGGTTGTATTTTTCCGATCGCTTCTCTTGGAGGAGAATGGACCTTTTTATACCTATGGTCAAGGGGACAGATCCCTGACAGTATCTTCTACCTTTTCAGGTTTGGCAGGGACAGGTGGCTTTCGATTGGTAGTTCATGTTCTGTGAGTGGATGTTTGCTATTGGTGCAGGTTTTCCAGGAGTAGCACCATGAGCGCTACACTTGTCACTTTGGGAAGCGATTGGTACTATTTTGTCCTAACACTGACCTTGGCGCTTAGGCTCTAAGGAACGAATACAAGATCACGAGGGTGAGGGTGAGGGCGAGGACGCAGCGTTAGGCATACGTTGTCCTTTACCCAAACCATCTACCTGACTGACGGTTCCATTGTGTTTGATATATTCTTTGTGGGATACATTATCAGTCTAAAACTATGTTTTGCAAAAATGAAATGTTTTTTTATGAAAACGTGATAAACGTTTTGCATCACAAACCCATGTAGCTCATAAGACATTCTTGTCTTACATATCTCTTTAAATGTCATGTATCTCATATTACATTTAATGAGAGAGGATGATAGATGAAAATTAGAAGTAAAGAGATAGAGAATGGTGTGGAACTTCTTAAGCTCCTTATTTATTGTAGTGATTTAATTCTTATTTGTTTGTTATGGTTTGTATGATGCTTAATGGTAACACCCAATCTTTATAATGTTTTGGTGGGACTGATTTTTGTTAAATGTGGGTTAATACCCCAAAACATTTTAAAACCATATCATTTTAAAGTTTGAAAACTTTAGGGTGTTACAGAAACCCTTCTGGAAATTGTGGACTTGAGATCTTAAGGATTAAGTGCTTAATCATTGGCAGTATGCCTTAAGTTGCCATTAAGGACTTAGGTTTAAAGATATTGTCTTATTGGGATGTATTAATCGACAAAGTTTGAAATTTTATACATCAAGACCTTGGAGAAAATCAGATCTAATCTTTGGGGCTCTTAAGGATGAAAACAACTTAATTCATTAAGTTGTTCTAACCTAGTTCGCACGACATAGCCTTCTCACCGCCACAACGTGGCGACTGGGGATCAGCTCGACTATTTTTGCATTTTGTGACAATGACGTGGAGGCTTGTTGATGATAATATTTGACCTTGTCTTTGACTTTGACCGTTGAATTTTGGCATGGTTTGTCTTTTGGTTAATTTCTGTTCTTTGAATGTAGACTTAGGGTTTACCTTTTGTGGTTTATTAGGAGGTGTTTAGCACCCATTAGTTGGTTGTGAGAGTTGTTAGTTGTGGACAGTGTTGGCAAGGTAATTCTTCTCACTATACTATGCAGGATGCTAGTTGTCTATGAGATACTTGCATGAAAGACTATGTAGTGGCCCCTCGCATATGTATGAAAGACCAGGTGGTGGCAGCTTGCAATTGTATGCAAGACCAGGGTCTGGCCCTGATAAATATATGTAGGATGCTATTTGTCTTCGTGATGCTTTCATGAAAGACTAGGAGGTGGCTCTTGGCACTTATAAGTAAGACCAGGATTTGGCTCTTGGTGTGGCAAGAGAAGACAATGATTGGCTCATGGCTGATAGTGACAGTAAGACTATTGGTGTCCCATAACATTCTCTGTCCTCTATATAGTATGTGGTATTTAGGGAACTCATTAAGCTTTGTGCTTATACAATTATGGTTGAAACATTTTCAGGTACTTCCAGTTTCAAAGGGAAGAGCCTAGCTTGACTACATTACGATCTCTTGGTGGCTTTTTCGCATTGATGGTTATTGTATACTCCGATGTTTGAAAAATACATTTTACTCTGATTGGTTTTTAATAAATGGTTGTACGGAATTAATTGTTTAAAAAATAAAAAATTTTGTTGGTCTTTTTTGGACATTATAACACACATCGACAACTTCCACAATTTGTGATTCTATGCTGTTGATCAAACTCTGATTTCGGAATGCAAACTATTGGAAACGAACGGTTTTTATGATGTTACTTAACAAATGGTTTCTTTTATATGAGATTAAAATTAACAATTTTTTTGTGAAAATAAGGACGTTACAAGAAGGCAAGTATGAGGATGAGAGAGTTGATTTATCTCCCTATTTATAGAATTTTTTTAATGATGTGGATTGCTAGAAACGCACCAAGTGTCACTTCCTCGATCTATGTGATACAGCATGACAAAAACCATATCACACTTTTTTTCCCGAAAACACTAGTTAGATGTATATGAAATTACAATTCAGAATATGTAAAAATATTCACCTCACGAATAACATAACTATGTTAACATAGCATTTAAAGTCTATTGTGGGGATTAGTGATTCGACTGTTTTTTATGGAAGTACCAAAACTTCGTGAGAGTGGAATTCCGAGAAATTAATCAAATACTAGAGTATTTCCTAAATCATAAAATTTTATCATGTTCCTTTAACGAGTCGTATAGCTAACCTAACGAATCGTTTGAAGATTTGTTAGCGGGAAAGCCTAAGTTGTGGTGTTTGGTTCTTATCTACAACAATGTTGGGCTTTTCAAGCAAAATGAGTTAGCAAAA